AAATCATGAAGAACAAAGGTAAAATCGGTTCAATGGTAGTACGAATTGTCTGGTTATTTTGAGAGTATTCAACTACGAGGCCTCCAAATAACGTATACCTTTCATGAGACCAGCTTACTGTTCAAAACCATATGTGAAAATTCAAGCCCGTTGACGCACTGGTCAAAAAACCAATTTTTAAAGAATATTTTAACTAAAAGTTGAAGTTTTGTCATTAGTTCTGATTGCAGTAGGCATCATCAAAGTCAGAGAGCAGAGAGAGAATAATTGAGAAATATTTAAATATTTTGCAAGGTGAATGTCGATTAGAGTTTGGAAATTATTTACTTGAATGGCTGCAAGTAATGACACTTTTTGGTCGAATGCGAACCAAAAGTTATAGCCTGTGACTGGCTTTGCAAAAGCTAAATATTGGAGTCGAGTAAAGCCACAGAGGATGTCTATAAAAGTTGCTAAAGAAGCTGAAATCTTTGTGTCCAAGCAAGTTTATTTTATTTGGTGGTCTTCTTGAGTTGGCATATGATATGATTAGTGTAGGAGTACTTCCCGAAATATATCACTATTATATTTAGAAACTATAGTGTAAAAATTGTTGTTCGTGTATATGTGTAACTACATGTTATAACAGTGACGCTAACTTTCTGATGCATTTAATACTGATTATAATGTAATGACCTTTGTATACTCTACTGAGACCAATCTTTCTTCTACCGTTGTTATTTTAATTGCCGATGCAAACATTTTAAACTAAAACACGACATTAAACAACAATTGCAACTGTAAGGAAGTTTCTTCAGTTTCTAACCAAATTAAAAGTTAGCGCCAACTTCCATTGTCGAAAGGTTGCAAAAAAGCTTAACTAGTTTATTTGCTTACTATCATTCGCCACATATACCGATGTTCACATGTACAGCCACCTTAAAACATGCAACTGTTAACCTTGTAGGGCGGTTTCTCCACCCTTTTCAAGTGGTTGTTCAGTTTGAAAAAAACATGTGTAGCCATTCACAACCGAAATAATACCACACTTGCAACATCATTCCACCCCACCCTTATGCTGCACAATAAAGTGTGGTGGTCTCTAGGCATGGAAGCCACAAGCCCCAATAACGGTTAGTGCAGGAAGCATTGCATGGCATTGTGGCTAAAAGGATTGAAAAATAGGAAACAAATGTTTTAACTTTGGGTTTGTAGTTTTTCCTGTTGGCAGCTGAAACGAATCATTGCACTTGTGACACACTTTTTTATTTCACACACTTAATGACCCATTAAGAGTACGAAATGAACAGATTTTGTCAAGTGGAAATTGCGGAAACTCATAAATATCATTCATTTTTATTAATATTATAAATGTGAATATAAGTCTGATTCGTTGTACATACATATGTATATACATTGAGGCATTATAAAATCATAGAATACTTATTATATAATTATCATTGAGGAAGCAGACTTTTACGGATTAAGAAAAATTATTTTGGGTCCAACCTAGGTCCAATGAATTTTCCATCTACGTTTGCGATAAAATGTTGAATCTACATCCCGACTCGGTTAATTCCAATGCATGGAATGAATGGATCCATCATAAGACCTCCTCAAGCCTTAATACTCAAAGGCAGTGGGTCACACGCGCAATTACGACATTAGCCTTTACTGCCTTGCAACAAAATACTTCTATGGTTACAAAATGCTCAACTAAGTAGATTCTCAGAACTTCTTGATACTTTTGTCTCTGCTGAGCTGTTTTCGGAGGAACCATCTTTGCAGTCGTTTGCTTGAAATAGATCTGTCTTCTACTTGTATGAGCATCAAGAGGTCCCTTGACTCCAACCACCTTTTTACATGCCCATCGAACTCCACTCATCTAACAAGTTCGATAAACAAAACAAAAATTTTTTTGTTTGCTTATTCGACAGCTTGTATTTCCATAAATATCCTGTGAAATCGGGAAGGACTCATCTTGAATAGTTTTTGGACGACAGCGTTGTAAAGAGCGACTGCTCGGATGTACAAACATATATATGTAAGTGAAACTTTAAACGCGTTTTTCTCGAACCGGCTTTTTTCAAAATTGCTGGCGTCATAACTCAACGAGAACCTGACTGATCGACCAAATTAAAACTGAGTATTTTTGAATTTACATTAATTAACTATACAATGAAATACGATTTTTTGATTGGTTGAAAATTGTCAATTTGGCTTTAGAAACACGATAATTTTTTACCTAAAAAAACGATTTTTCAAAATTACACCATTTTCTTAATTTTTGAGATGGTATGTGATTGTATAGGAAATGTCTTTAAGTTTACTAAACTGTTCAAATGCCAGCAGTTGGGACACTTTTTTTTGGCACATCCGAAGACAGCCCCTTACTTCGTAATTTTTCAACAATTTTGTAAAAAAAAATCTTAAAATATAGCTTCAAAGTAGTTCGAAATATTCAATTTCATACTCTCTTTAAAAATGGTTTACGAAAGTTGCCTAATTTTTCATGCGCCATACTGCCCTTTAAACTACAATTAATAACTTCATAACGATGCCACAATGTGAAAAAACTGCCTGCATTTATAATAATAAAAATAATAACAACAGGGAAGGAAGGGTTAAGTTCGGCTGCAACCGATAATTGAATACTGATGCTACTTGCTGGAATCAAAGCCAGGGCAATACCTTATGATGTAAAACGTCAACTAGAGGACTGGAATCTAAGCAATTTTCTTATATACACACACCATATATAACTTATGCACTGACCTACATACCTATGTACTCAGCATAAGATTTGTTAAAACAAGTAAGGAAGAGCTAAGTTCGGGTGTCACCGAACATTTTATACTCTCGCACGATAAAGTGATAATCGATATTTCAGGCGTGGTTGTGAACCGATTTCACCCATATTTGGTACATGTCATTAGGGTTTTAAGAAAATATTATATACCGAATTTCATTGAAATCGGTCGAGTACTTCCTGAGATATCGTTTTTGGTCCATAAGTGGGCGACGCCAAGCCCATTTTCAATTTTTAAAAAAAACCTGGATGCAGCTTCCAACTGACATTTCTTCCGTAAAATTTAGTGTTTCTCACGTTTTTTATTGTTCACCTTTGTATTGGAGTTGGGCGTGGTTATTATCTGATTTCTTCCGTTTTTGAACTGTATATGGAAATGCCTGAAGGAAACGACTATATAGAGTTTGGTTGACATAGCTGTAGCAGTTTCCGAGATATGTACAAAAAACTTAGTAGGGGGCGGGGCCACGCCCACTTTTCCAAAAAATTACGGCCAAATATGCCTCTCCCTAATGCGATCCTTTTTGCCAAATTTCACTTTAATATCTTTATTTATGGCTTAGTTATGACACTTTATAGGTTTTCGGTTTTCGCCATTTTGTGGGCGGATAGACGGACAGACAGACATCCGGATTTCAACTCTACTCGTCACCCTGATCACTTTGGTATATATAACCCTATATCTGACTGTTTYAGTTTTAGGACTTACAAACAACCGTTATGTGAACAAACCTATAATACTGTCCTTAGCAACTTTGTTGCGAGTGTATAAAAACCAAAATTGTTATACGGAGTAATTATAAATCAAAAATCCTGGTAATAGTCATATGGGGGTTAGATAAAGTTTTCGGGCAATTGTATTGTTTGGGCAAAAAGATATACTATTATGAGTCAAATATGTTCTGAAATTTTCATTGATATAACTCAGATATTGGAACACACCAGGAAGTCCGAAAATCTTTATTTTAGGTATATGGGACCTCAGGGAAGTATTGACCCGATTCCACCCATTTTGGAAACACAGAATAACTACTGCAGGAAAAGAATTCTGGATGAATTTCTATTGCATATCTCACATATTGACCGTTATTTTCGAACAAAAGTGAACTATAAGTACTGGGGTCCACATATTCGGTACCTAGGATCTTGAACGGTTTTGGTTGGATTTGAACATTTTTTTGTCATTAAGTGGCATGCACTAAAAACATTGTTCCTGCAAAGTTTAATCCCATTATTTTAATTGCTTCTTGATTTATATACTGGAAAGAAAAAGAATCAGGTGGAATTAAAATTGTGCTATATGGGAAGTGGGTGTGGTAATTATCCGATTCCGCTCATTTTCACAACGACACAAAAGAATATAATAATAATGCCACATTCCAAATATTATCGAAATCGGTTTGTCGGCTTCCGAGATATGGGATTTCAGCAAAAAGAGGGCGCTGCCACGTCCGTCGTACAATTTTTACCACGGTTCCTATAAAGCCTTACACTATCTCGACGGCAAGTTTCTAGCGCATTTAATTATCGATTTATCGCGCTTTAGTAGTTTTGTACAGTACAATTATATAGGGTTTGAGCGGGGTTCTCATCCGATTTCATGAATTTTCGCACTGTCGGTAGGACTTCTTGAAATATTCGTGCTAGGTGAATTTGTTTTTTGTTTTTTTGCTTTGGTGGTTTAGGAGATATGCCCCCTTTTAAAAAATTTTTTCATAGGTGCCCCGTGCTACTGCGATCACTTGTACCAAATTATAGTTACTTTATACGTTTCCCATCTACGAATCTTAACTTTTGCTCAAATTACAGCTTGCACGGACGGACGGACAGACAGACAGACAACCGGATTTCAACTTCTCTCATCACCCTGACCATTTATATATTCATAACTTATATATCTGTCTCGCTTAGTTTTAGGCGATACGTACAACCGTTAGGTGAACAAAAGTATAATGCTCTGTAGGAAGAGTATACAAATTATGTACATTCCAAATGCATAATTTATTTCTGACAAAACCATCAGAATTTTCGCATGCTAAAAGTAATTTTCATTCGAAATTCAAATCATATTATTTTCCATTTTGCCTGTGCTCTTTCGAAATTAACGAAATGAAATTGCAGATTTGGCGATGGTGAGTAAAAGGAGTTAGTTAATAAATTTGTTTAACTTTTCAATGCAGAAATATTGTATTGTTCATGCCTTCATACTTACATTAATCACTGCACGAAGTATAAAGAAGGCCACTTCCGCTTTGCACATTGCATCGAATTGCTAAAAAGAAGATTGAAACAGCATAATCACTCTTAAAAAATTCTTTGCATCTAAAAATAAATTTGAGGTTTAGTGTCAATATTTACGTGTGTGTTCAGCTCAATCATGTAGGTATGTCAAAATTGTATATTAAATCAAACAATGCATTGATGTACAGTAACAAGGAAACAAAAAAGCTGAGTACTCATAACGGTTGCACTGGTCACTTGTCTTCTAAGAATATTCAAATTACTTAAGTTAACAGCTTAAAATTAACGAGTTACCAACTAAATTTGCAGATGAAATTGTGATATGTTAGATTACAGAGAATGTTGAGCAGAAATGAGCGTCAACACAAAACTTATTACTATTGACTCTATTGAGCATATTAAATTACTCCCAAAAAACAACTCTTCTATGAGATATTCGTCCCAAGTAAAGCTTTTGAATTGCCTGTTTTTGCCGATAGGTTTTTACGAGAATGACATTATTAAAATAAATTCAAAATGGCAACAAATTATAGAACCAACCAGTACATATTTGACCTCAATCAATAAGTATAACCATATTAAATCAAGCCTTCAATTTGATGTTAGTTTGATAAGTTTTTTACTAGACTTTAAATGGGATACAAGTCCATTACGAAGAAAACCCATATTTCTCATTCTTCTCGTCAAGTGTTACTGGGTCAGTAATTGTACCGAACAAATTTGTAGAATAAATCGTATCACCACATACCATTTTCGCTTCAATCTGAATCGGAACTTATGCAAAGTATTCTCGATTAACATAAGACTGTCATTTGGGTCTTAGACATAATGAAGGCCTACTCACAAAACGGCGTGATGTTAAATTTAAATAAAACACTCAAATGGCCACAATGTCTCGATGCAAAATTTCGGGTGGATTTTCGGCTCGTGTGCGCTAAATCTTTTCATCGATCTCCTCTAGTGTTGCTGGTTGAAATATGAGGTGCAGCACCGTCTACTTAGTCTGTAGCCGAAAATTTCTACATCTCGACACTCAAATAAACTCCCGATCGCAGGTCAAGCACATTTTACTTAACCTTTCCAAAAATTCTATAAACCTTTAATGACGAGCTCAATACCTTTCTATCGAAGCCAACGTATTCCCTGTTCGTTTCCTTTTGACTATTTTGAGTATTTTTATTCTATTAGCTTAAGCAAAGCACTTAGTAGCATTTCCGCACACTTCGCGTGAACACTTACTGGCTCACAGACCCAAAGGCAATGAGCCACTTTAACTTTTCACTTTCATTTCGAATCAATTGTGAATGCAACTGAATTAACACTAAAAATAACTGCAACAAAGCAGGTGCGAGCATAAAAACAAATTGAACTCAAACAAAAATGTGAAAATCTGAGTTATGCAGAAAGTTCGCCAGCGACAATAACAACAAATCGACATGCACTCAATGCAAATTGTTGCAATGTCAGTGGAGTACGGTTATTCGGTTGTAGCACTTGTGAAAGAGACTGGAAAAAGAAACTTTGCACCAACTTTCTGTATGTTAAAAGGTTTAAAATATACAGGTGACTGAGTGGGTGAAGGTAGGTGGAAGGGACCCGAAAAAGTCTGTGGGCCACCACTTGTGAGTGTAGGTGTAGCTGAAGTCAAAAATTTATTTGAGGAGGTGGCTCAGTAGTTGCATGGAGCCGCGAAGGTAACTCAAAGAGTAAATAGAGACTGAGGTGTACACACATCTACTGCAATAACGGCAGGGAACTACCACAACAAGCAATGCATTTGAATTTTGCTCATGAAAAACTTTAAAGATTGTTGTTGATTGTTGGTATTCACCAAATATACATACAGCGCACGCTCGCTAATGTGAACACTCTATAGTTCGAACACCCCATAATGTGAACAGACTTTTTTATGCATTGACTACTCTATAATGTGAACAAACCCAAAAGGCTCTATAATATGAACAAAAGACTCTAAAGTATTTGAATGTAGTTTACACAGATCTCAGCTAATTCTGAATTTGGGAACCCCCTAGTTGTAGAATAAGATGTGTAATACTTCAGTTGCAATTTTGTATTCGCGTGGAGTATTTCGATCTAGATTTTCTGTTAAAAATCAATTCTAAAAAACACACGTTTTTGACATTGAAGCAAAAAGCTGATATTCTCGATTCTTTAAAAAGAGGCTCATCTATGACGTTCTCAGCAAAGAAATATAATGTTGCTAAATCAACAATTTGTGGAATCAAAGCAAAAAAACAACTGATTTTAAAGTTCGTGAACAACACATAGTCGGGACCTGAACAACTCTGCGTCCTTCAGAGCTGCCCAAAATGGAGAAAGCTCTTTATCGTTGGCTTATTAAAATGCGGAATAAAAACTGGCCAGTAAGTGCCTTAATATTGAAAGAAAAGGCCAAAGTACTGCATGCACAAGTAAAGGAAAATGAATCTAACTTCAACGCTACTGATGGATACCTTCAAGGATTTAAAAAAAGGTACGGTATTGAGACTGCTGCAAATATCAGGCGAAAAACTATCTTCGCTGCCTCAGCTCGTGGACCCATTTAAGGAAAACTTAAGCTAAAATTACCGAACTGGAGCTGATGAGTCAGGCTTATTCTGGAAACTTCTGCCAGAAAAAACGTACGTGTCCAGTATGGAAAAGAGAGCCCCAGGCGTTAAGTCGGAAAAGCAGCAAAGCACGTTTTTATGTTGCTCAAACGCCACTGGATCTCATAAACTGAAACTTTTGGTAATTGGAAAGGCAAAGAATCCACGCTGCTTTAAAAACTTTCAATGCCCCACAGACTATAAGAGCTCAAAATCCGCCTGGATGACATCGGCTGTTTTCAATAAATGGTTTTATGAGTCCTTCGTTCCACAGGTGAAGATTTATTTTGTATTTTGTTAATTTTTTTCTTTTATATTTATTTTTTAGGTAACGTCATTTTTAAGGGAGAAAGGTTTGCCAATTAAAGCTACTACTCCTAATCGACAACGCTCCTTCTCACCCAAATGAAGCTCAGCTGGCAACGGAGGATGGACAAATTTTGGCAATGTTTATGCCATCAAACGTTACTCCCCTCATCCAACCAATGGATCAAAATGCCATAAAGATCAGTTGCATTGCAGAAACAGCCTTTTAGCCTCAATAGCAGCAACAAACTCCAATTTACTCGTCGATGAAAAAAATTGCTTTACGAAGAGCTATAATTCTGGATGCCGCTTGGAGTCGTGTCAGCGAAGTAACATTAGCTAATTGCTGGAAAAATATTTTAAATTTTACGGCAGATGATGACGATCCCGAAGATAGTGTTAGAGAGAAAGCTGTGCCTCAACTTTTAGAAACACAGAAGATACAGAAAAGGAGACTGGTTTTTTCAAATAAAACCTAGATTTTGTATAATATGTGTTACGTAAATATGTATATGTAATGAAAACACTAATGTGAATTCCAATATATAAATACGTACTATCCCATTCTTTTGGAGCATTCCATAATGTGAACACTTCCGATAATGTGAACTGCCTTGGTTTTAATTAGGTCAGATTATCGAGCGTGCACTGTACATACCTTAAAATAAATTATGCGCAAGCTTGACAGAAATAGCGTGGAAGTGGCAAAAACGCAAAATGCTTGTGAAAATACTGACAACTCCTGGAAAATTTGTAAAATATGTGCAAATGTATTTTGTTTAGTCGGCGGAGGGTTTGTTGTGGCACTGCCAGAACACTGTTATATGGGTTTAGCGACATGCTTTGACCAAATATATGTGAAAAACGGCGCCAGTAGACACACTCGTACACTAAATTTCGCAGAGGTACCTGTTTGCGGCATGAATGCTTCTTTTTTCGCAAAGTTAAAATTTGTAAAAGGCAAAAAGGTACTAGGTATATGAGAAATAATGGTAGAATGGACTTGATTTTACCTTATATTAATTGATTTTACCAATACTATATATTATTAACAGAAAAGCATGATTTCTGAGTGTTTAGACGGGGATAAGAAAAAAGGCTGTTGTTAGTTTGAATGTACACGAATTTAATCAAAAACGGGTAACTTTGGTATTTTGCATTGAATCAGTAGATATGTATGTAAATAGTTAAATGCACTCGCTACTCGTGAATGTGCGACTGAAACTCCACTGCAAGGAGACGAGATGAGGAAAAAGGACGTGCAGGATCTCGGTCGAATCAAATGCTGAACGCAGCGCGCAAGATCCATCCGATGGATGTAAATATGCGAAAGGTGCGACGCGGCGCAGTGTAGAAGCGAATGTCTGTAGCGATGAGTATATGGCGAAAAAGTCGCACCAATTGTCTCTGCTTTCTCCTTGTCCATCCTTTTTGATTAGTGAGTGTATACGTATGGTGAGTTGTGGTGGTGTCATCAGCTGTGGTGAATTAAGCTGTCTTATTAGGGTGCGCCACTTTTCCCGGATAGGGTGGGTGGATGCTTAACTCATTTAAACACTGAATTTTTAAAGGTACCTTACGTCAGCAATATATAATATATGGAGTAAAGTCAGCCGGGTGTTTCGAAGTACTGAATATCGGCTATATGGTGGCTAGTGCAAGTTTTCGTTTGATTTTATAAAAAATAAATACTATAGTTAGGAGTAGGTAAAGTTAGTCCGGAGATATGTGATTTCACCTAAAGGTTTCCAGTGCTCGGTCATCGCCCAATTTTGTTAACGGTTCCTATAAGCGTGCTTGCACCGTCCTTGTAAAATTTAATGAATTCGAAATATTAAGTTTAGTTTATCGCATTTCAAATAATTTTTAAGAAGTTGTAACATGAAGAATTGGCGGGGTTATCATTCGATTTCACATATTTGCTTACCGTTAAAAGGCTGTACAAATTTGGATGCTAAGTTTGAATAGTCTGCGAGATATTTACATTAATTATTTATTTAAAACCAAAGATGCCCTGACCTAATACATATCATTCCTTGTACCAAATAGCATTATTGAATATTATTGTAATGAGGAGGAACATATTTAATACATTTTATTAAGACATCTCAATTTTTACTCAAGTCACAGCTTGTATAGACAGACAGATAGACAGCCAAAGTCAATCAAATTTGAACTCGTCTCATCACCTTGCTCACCAGATGAATACAATTATGCCAACACTGTTCGACTGAATGCTCAGTGGAGAAAAAATCACCCGTAGCCAAAACTGATGAATTCATTATGGGCTTGGCTTTAAATTCAGTCTCAGTTCCATGCGATGGACCATTATCATCGTGTAAAATCCTTGAATTGTTCTTCTTCGTTTTTTCCCTTTCGTGAATGTGGGATCGAAATTCGCACGTTCAAGCAAGTTCAAAGAGACCTGTTTTCGGTACTTTTTTTGAAAAAACTCTGCTTTATCGGGATGAACATCCACCAAAATTATTCGAACCTGCCTGACGTTATTCAATCCTTCACTTTTTAATATTTTCATCAGTTGAAGAGGTCGAAGTCGTTCAGAAAGGCATGTCTTCAATGATCTTTCGACCATCTTTGTAGTCTTTTTTGTATCGATTAAGTGGTTACATGGGTTTACGGGTTTCAAAAAATTTAAATTTTTAAAGTTATAGAATATTGTGCTAAGTTTTCAATTGATGTTGACCCGAGTAATAGTTTCGGAGATACAGCCTTGAGAACATGTGTGTTCGAGACGAGTCTTTAGCTCGTTTTTCTCGAAACTTTCTTTTTGAACTACTTAACCGATCTTCATGAAATTTTGCAAAAGTCTTTGGATACAATTTTTAAAGACTTGGTGAACTTTTTCGATTACAACTATTTGAAAATAATATGTCGCGACATTTTAATTTTTTTTTGTAAAAATGTTAGCCAAAAATCGAATTTTCAGTTTTTTCAGTTCGTTCAAGTTCTTCGATATGGTTTTAACATAAATACTTATTATTTCTTTTCAGATGATATAGAATTTATTTTGTTAAGTTAGTTGTTTGTAACAATAAAAAATTCTAGTAGAGTATGAAATTTTTTATATGAGAAAAAAGTTGTTGAAAAGAGGCTGTTTTTTAACCGAAGAAACCCAAGTAACCCCTTGAGCAGCAGCTGTAAACAAATTCGTTGACCGATCGCGCTCACATTGGCCATGGTAATAAAGGATATACAGTGCTTCTTAAATACATTTTCTGGGAGCTTTTTTGTTACAAAGTATATTGCAGTTTTGAACTAGTATTTTTTTCTTCTGACCTAAATCTGACAAGTGCCAGCTGTGAAAAAATTCATAAGTAAAAACAAAAAAATGCATATTAATAAAAAAAAAATGTCTCTAAGTTTAATATAGTAATTTTTTTCAATATTTCTGGCTGAATTTTTCTTGGATAATTGATTAATTAAAATTTTTAAATATTCCACAAAGGAATGCACAACATGTCCGCATTAGAATAAACAAAAACTTTTAAAAATAATTTGAGGCATATAAATTGATATTATTTATAATATCGTCGTGAAAAGCTCATTTGCTTGTATGAGAAAAAATTTAAAATATTCGCTGTCAACAGAATTTCAATTTGCTTTTCCAAATTGCGGTTAATTAAAAATATTTCAAAAGGAAAAATTTTAATATTTTTAACAACTTATTATAGAATTTTTTCGCTTTCATATTGAATGTAAAATACTCATGTACTTTACACATGCTTTCGGCTTTACAACAAAGAATTTCGCTTTTGCTTTCATTCGGCAAAATTTTGTTGCAACAAAAAAGTTTTATATGTGTTTATATTTCTCTATTTCTTCTTGCTAGGAACTTTGCTTTGAATTTGTAATTCGCTAAATTAAAAATCAGACCATGAAAACGAAAGAATAAACTGAAATATGCAAATGTAACGGTGAATGGCGATGCAAATGCAATGCACGAAAGAATCAAGACGAATCAAGGCCAAAAACAGCAAGTACAACAAGCACTGAGTGAATTCAAACAAAAGTATGCGATAATCAGCAAAACAAAGTGCCAGCAACCATTCACTCCCTTCCTCCTGCAGCCCTGCCACTTCAAGACCCTCTCTCCTTCTCCTGCGTTATCAGCGAATAAGGAAATTTATGCAGTTTCCTTTGTACGCATAAAAATCGCTGCTGCTCGCCGTTCGGCAAACCAGAGGGCCAGAGTGCCTCAGCGCATTATTATGTAAATTTTTATTTTACAATCTTCACTGCTTGTTAGCATCAAATTGTTGTATGAATTTGTGGAAGCTTGTTCGCGCCGTCGGTCAATAAAAACGTATGAATGAATGAGTGAACTCAATAACAAAAATTATGAATTGTCTTGCATACTTAAGGTGTATCAATTGTTGCGGCACGACCGACTTACTGACCTTATTTACATGGTCTCGTAAAACATTGGAGTAGACCATGGCCACCGCTTCCAGCGCCATAAACGTTATGTAGCCAATTATCCACGGCACTATGAGACCGGGGTTCTCCTGCAAGAAAAAGAAGAAATGTGGCAATTTATTACAATATTAAGGAAACATTTCCATAAAGATAGATTTATATATAGGTATTTGGTGGTGTGTACATAAGTTTTTGCATATAGTGAAGCCATTTAAGCAAGTTGAATAGTCACCCTGTAAATTTAAGATGCTTTTGTTTCTATATGTAATTTAGACATAAAAGGAAAGGGTCAAAGCCAACAGTATGCCAAGATCCATAAAAGAATCTGATGTGTTTCGAAAAATATCGATGAAATCTGAATCCAAACAATTAGGTCCTTTGGAAGAAAATTGCGCAGTGAAATGAAAGAGGGCTTTAATTATATGGAAAGTGATAATGAAGTGACTTATGACAATGACATTAAAAATTGATTTACATAATTTCAAAGTGGTCACATATTCCTTTTCGATAAGCGCACGTGCTCCAGAACCAGCTACAATGGACGATAATAAAACGAAACTGCATTGCCTGACCGCTAATATCTGAAACTGTAGACATCTCTAAAAAATGTTTGGTTCAAATACTGCGGCGCGATTGCTTTCGAATTTCGGACAAAATGTGGAACCGTCAGATCACTTTCCAGCAATGTTTGATGCTATTTAAGCTCAATCTGAAGGATTTTCTACACAGTTAAGGGATTGTCGACAAACATGTATTCACTGGTACACTCTTACGCCTGGGAGGTTGATAACCCCCATTTTTAATTTCTGAGTTTCACAAGGTGTTAGCTACAATGACTAGGACTTAGCCAGCTACATGGTTTAAGTATGGGCCGCTACCGACGCCGATATGCAAAACAATTCGCGTTTTGAGGCGAACGAATGAATTCTTCTGAAATATTTATTGAATCTCCTTGTATATGCCAGTCTGGTAGGAAGACAACAGGTTTGAAATAACTCTATATGGTGCAGAATTTTACTTATCGAAAACCAGGGTAATGCAACAGACCAAGTACAAACTGACGGTATACAGGAAGTGCATTAGAAGCAAGTAAGGAAGGGGTAAATTCGAGTGCAACCGAACACTTTATACTCTTACAACTTGCAAGAATCAGAGCAAGGAAAAAACTTTAAGGTGTAAGACGTTAGAGGATCGAAATCAAATTGCCTGGATTTCGATGTATATACATTTATGTTCATTTTCATTGAGATAACTCACATACTGGCCGATATACGTGGTACGCAAATATCAGGAAGTTCGATTATCTCTATATTAGGTATATGGGGGATAAAGGACGTATTGGTTCGTTTCAACCCATTTTTAATATACAGACATACCATTGTCAGTAAAGTACTATCCCTGAATTTCAATTGTATATCTCATACATTGAACAATTTTTAACTATAGATTTGTGGTAGTGAAAGTTATAGAAAGTCTAGGGATAACACATTTGCCATTAAGGATGTAAAACTCAAAAGAAACTATCTGAGATCCAATAAAAACAAATATAAATGATCGAACTGAGTTGATTTAGTCATGTCCGTCTCTGTTTATCGGCCTGAAGCACCATTCTCAGGATACTATTTTTGGCTTTGATAACAGAATGATTTCATAGAATAGATAGTCTTATTAAAACTTAATAAACTCGGATTGATAAAACGACTAAAGGTGCTGTGAAACAAAAGTTATTCCATCTCTTCCATAACAACATTGTGACTATCTGATGTTTTTGCTACATAACCTGCAAACAACGCAAGTATTAGTATATGGAATACTTAAATTTAAGTAGCAACCATGAAAACCAAAATGGCAAAGATTCCAGATACGATTTATTGCGTGACATTGCCGTTTCATTTAATTAAAAATTAATGAAAAAGCTCTAGAGAGGCAAATTCGTGCAGAAAGACAGACTGTCCTGCTTTAGTTTACGCGCGCGTATACACACACACATATTTCATTCCCCAAGGCACAGATACGAGCACAAGCACACGCACACACATTAAAATAACACATGCGATTATTTATACTGCACCATTGTCTAACAGCAAATACGCATTTGGAAAAATGTTTATTCAATGAGCGCCGCTTCTCGCCACCAGTCATTGCACATCCACACACATACATACGCTCATATGTATTAGCGTCTGCACGCTGCGCGTTGATAGCAAAACAAAGCGTGGCGACTTTTATTCGTTTAATGATCAGCGCTCACCGAGAATCCCACAGTGACTCGTCGCCATTTGAATATGTGCACATGTCCGTGCGTGTGTGTTTGTATTCTTAACAACTTTCCTGTTTCTCATCGTTTGCTGCTTATTTTAGTTGGCTCGTTGGCTGGCTGACTGCTTGACTATTTGGTTTCCTGCGGATTGCTAATGCTATTGTTCGAGCGTGTAAGTGGGCGCATGCCTGTCCCGGTGTGTGTGTGGGTAGCCAGCGATGTGGCCTGTGTGCCTCGGTCTAGTGGCGGCGGCAAGAGTGGCGTCTTGTTGATTTACTACACGTATGCTGTGAGCATGAATGCGTCTACTCTGAACATGGGAATGTCTGCGACCCAAGGTTCTAACTATGCTAGCACGTAGGAATATTGTTACGCACACATTCACGCTCACATTTGAATTGTTAATTTATATCTTCGCCGTTTTTGCTTTAAGACTAGTGCTGAACGTGTGCTGTCAGAATGTCAGCTAACGCACTCATGAAATCTAAAATGATTATAAAAACTTTTTATCATACCCGGCTGCAAACATACACATGTGCACGTTGATGCATACTTATATAGAGTATGGTAAATTTGATAAAAATATTCTCAAACCTTGAAAAATGTCTGAAAGTTATTTGAAAAAATATTATTTAGTAGAAAAAAATGTTTGAATAAAAAGAGCTTTCTCAAATGAAAACTTTAATCATAACTACAGATTATGAGCTTATGGAAAGTTTTGAAAATTTTTGCCCATTAGTGCCAGTTCGAATTTATTTATGTATGTGTTAAAAATTAAGTTTTATCTAGTCCATCCAACTATAAAATACACTTGACGATCCAAAGTGCCACGAGTAGAGCTATTCAAGTAAGCTGTCGAGGAACTTATAATACTATTATTTAGCTCTAATACCCGATACTTTCAGATAATAGTGAGTCCGTTGAGTACATAAATAGCCTTAAGGCCAAAACCCAAAAACCAGCTAACAGTGAATCAGCTGACATATTAATGCTTCAATAAAGGAATTTTTATGCTCTGGCAACATGTTGCTACAGAGCCACGGGGTCCTTCTGCACCTGATCTTGTAGTGGTGTGGAACATATATGTACATATATGTAGTGCTACAGGTCACACCAAAGACTATAACATGGTACCACGGGGAGCAGTTTGCCCTTGGRGYKCGCTCCAATCTGCTCATTGGGTTTTTGGCCCTTTGTGGAGATTCGTGGTGGCTGTGGTTTAAACCTAAATGCAGGAAGGGCATTAGTCCAATGTGGAGTCGCAC